AATATATACATATGGACTAATTAGATCAATAAGGGATGTGTCAATATATAAATAGTAATGAAATACAAATGAATGAATAAGTAGTGTCCTCAGAGAAAAAAAAAAGTCATAGGACAGAAACAACATCTGAGGGATGTGAAAATGTGAAAGGTTTCAAAAAAATGAAAAGGCCAGAGAGGGGAGAGGAAAACTAGTGAAGGATGATGTCCTAGAAATTAAAGGAAGCAAGCTTTATTTTGTCAAATGATCTTTCCGAAACATAAGAGTACTTTGTAGAAATATGAAGCTTTTGCTAACAATTTTATATGCAATCTAAAGAATGGTCATATGCCTTACCAAACCAGAAAGCCAAATCTAGATGCCATTTTAGTGGCCCATATAGGAATCCTCCTGGCCTTATGTTCTTATCAGAAGTGTGTATCGGAGAGATATTTTAAAGCACAGCTACATCCTGTTTTCCAGCTTTCTCTTTGAAGATGATGATAATATTGGCATCATTGAAAGCTTGCAGAGTCTCTTCAGTTCTTCATTTTTTTTGAGACAAGTCTATGCCTGGAAGAGACTACACACAAAAGAAAACTATTGTTTAAATTATAGGCAGTACTGTTTGTTTGTTTCAGGTGTACAAAACAACATAATGATTAGACATTTATATACCTCACAAAGTGATAACCCTAAGTCTATTACCCATCTGACACTGTACATAATTATTATGATATTACATCTCTATGACTATTTTCTAAATTGCATTCAGTATTATTTTATATTAATTTCAGATGTACAGCATAGTGGTTAGACATTTATATGTTTTATGAAGTGATCCCCCCCTGATAAATCTAGTACCCATTTGATACTATACATAGTTTTTACAATATTATTGAATATATTCCTCATACTGTACTTTACATCCTTGTGGCTATTTTGTAACTATTAATTTGTACTTCTTAATCCCTTTACCTTTCTCACCCACCCTCCCTACCCGCCTCCTATCTAGTAACCATCAGTTTGTTCTCTGTATCTGTGTGTCTGTTTCTGTTTTGTTTGTTCATTTATTTTGTTCTTTAGATTCTACATACAAGTGAGATCGTATGGTATTTGTCTTTCTCAGTCTGACTTATTTCACTTAGCATAATACCCTCTAAATTCATCCATGTTTTTGCAAATGGTAAGATTTTATTCTTTTTTTATGACAGAATAATATTCCATTGTATATATGCACCACAATTTCTTTATCTTTTTTCTTCAAATTGAATTTAAGTTTTTTTGTTTTTACAGTTTTTAAAAGTATCTGTGATAACTATACACTCTGTTCTTACCACTGCCATCACCTGTCACTTCAGGATGTCAGCCAAAATGACAATTTTTTTTAAAGGTATTGCCCTTCACAACTCTGAAAGAGAAGTGGCGATTTCTTTGACTGGAAGTGCTTAGTTTAGATTCTTTGTGCTCTATCCTTGCAGGACTTTGTTAATTCATTTATAAATGTATTTATTTATTTAGTCAATAAATATTTACCAAGAGTATGATGTTTCAGGCATGATGCTAGAGCTAGGGACACAGAGATGAACAAAACAGGACCTGTCACTGCACTCACAGACAATGGCAAAGCCTATGACCAGAAGAGGGCTGCCATATCACAAGGTGCTTATATCTCACCAACATTTATAATTGATACCCTAAGAGATAGAAATATTACAGTTTTTATAATTTGTTGAGATTTATAAGTAGTACCCTAAAAAAGTTCATGTCCTCATAAACATTGTAAAGTCTTCGTTTTGGTGATGGTCCTCATGTCTTTAGCTCCCTATATCCCTTCAGTCTTGGTCTTCCCACTCCATGTTGGGGGATAAGTTGAATTATATTACATGAACTGAAATGTTCTTCACTGTATGTTAATGTACTGTGCCCAAATCCTCTCCCCTTGTGAAAAGAAGGCAATCCAGCCAATTGGAAAAGACAAGATTGTTGGGGTGACTGGTTAGTTCAGGTGGTTAGAGCGCAGTGCTCATAACACCAAGGTTGATGGTTTGACCCCCACATGGGCCACTGAGATGTGCCCTCCACAACTAGATTGAAGTAACTACCTGACTTGTAGCTGATGGGTCCTGGAAAAATACACTGTTCCCCAAAAAAGTTTTTTTTCTTTTTTTTTTTTTTTAAAGAAAGAGAATTTGGGGTGGGGGGAAGACAGGATGGTTTTCCTTGAGTCCAAAACTAAGGTGAAGAATTACTGTTAGGGAAAACAGAGAACAACAAAAACCAATGAGGCAGCCAAGCAAATTACAGACAATTAGTAAACCCCAGGGTTGAAATCCTGTGCAATTCAGAGTTCCAAGCCTGAAATTTAAGCCTGATAAGATCAAACTGAGTACAGAGCAAGGATGAATTCATGATGGAAACATCTATTTGAATAAAAACAAGAGAATAATTGTTAACCATGAATTTATGCTTTTTTTCCTAAGTGTCTTTAGATTAGTGTTTTGTCATTGATAATATCATTGGCAAATCATCCCATGACTGGTTCTATAGCCATTGAGTTATGCAATGCATCAACATTTACTGGTAATTCTGATAGTTGTAAATAGGGACACTGTTCTGTGGCAGAGTCAAGACATACCTTTAAATATAGTTAGGTAGATTGGGCAATGAACTCTAAGGACAAATGTTCAGTAGATATAAATGGTGCTCTCTGGAGTTGAGTGATGTAGTGGTTCCGATATTGGTGACATTTTTGTCATACATCATCTTGTAGTGGCTCTCAATATTACAGAGCCTGCCATTTAGTAATTTAAGCAAGAGAGAAAAAAAACCAACAACAACAAAAAGACGCTTTCTTCTTCCTTAAGTTCTGGCACCTACTGATTCTCTCTTTTCCTTATACTTTTTCTTTCTGGTAGACATACAATGCTCATGTGTTTCTTCCTATCTTTCAATACTTTAAGAACAATTGGTCATATGTTTGCAATGTTTAAACAGCAAAAAAATACGTAAACTGCAGGATGGCTCAGCTAACAAAAAAAAACAATACATAAACTCATACACACCATATCTAGTGCTTTATTTAAGAATTAGATAATACTTGATTATTCAGATAGGTACAATGCACACCTGTTATCCAAAGGATGCATTTTGGGGGATACAATTTCTCAAAATTATGTCAGTACACAAAATAGGAATAGTCAAGTAACATTTTAATATTGAAAAATAAGTTAAACCCTAATACATTTGTTTTTACAAAGTTTCACGATAGTATGCCATTTAACTTGTGATTGGCTTCATTTTGTACTGCCCAACTAGGTTATTTAATTCTAACATAGTATGTCATTTCTCCCCATACTTTAATTTCCATTTAATATTGCCCTTTATGATTCAAGTTGTACTTTAAAAATTCTTTGATGTTAATAAGGATTTTGTCATCCTTATAGTCCAATAGTTTTTACAGACACATTTAAGCCTAGATTATCTTCACTGTAAGGGTGAAAATAAGAGAAATAGAAGAGAACAATAGAAAAATCACCATTATACTTGTCTATTGAGTAATAAGTCCATGAGGTTAAACTAAGAAAATGATTATAAAATCAGATTTTAAGGATATGGACTTTGGAGACAGTTGATGCTTTTGTAAGCTTACTTCTTATACCTGAAATAGCTTATGAGCCAAACACCATCTGAGAAGTATAACTCTCTCCCCTCTCTAACTTGTGATCAGCCAGAAAAATGAAGAAATGACTTAATCATACAGATTCCAAACACTCCAGGTTGCAATTAACAAAGTCATAGTTACCTGGAAGACAGACAGCGTGGCAATTGATATAGGCCCAGATAACAGAGCCCACAGGAAAGAAAAATAAATTTTAATTGACATGGATTTTAGATTGTAGCACCATAATTAAACTACAGGTTGTTTTATTCATATAAACTTAAATTTTCTTACCAGTTTTATAACATCTACATTGTTATAATAGTTTAGGTGAGAGCGTAAGATAAAAACAAAAGGTTGATTTTGAAAACAAACTATTTAATGGAATCATTGTTTCATTTTCCAGTTCTCTTTGGCATGTCTTGCAATGTGATTTTTCAAGACCTGTGCAAGGAGGGAGAAAGATCCCCCTTGAGTAAATTCACGTAGGTCCTTTGCCATATTTCTGATAATAGGACCTTTCCTGCCCAATGATTATCTGCCTTCCAATAAATAAAAATGCCATTATTTCAGAAAGAGTCTTTTCTTTTTTCAAATCTCATCACTCATTTGGGGATATTCTTTCATCTGCGATTATGCCTTTGTATTTTTAATCTCTGATATTTTTAGTCAGAAAGCTTTTCCCCGGAATATTAGAAAATAAGTATAACTTAGTTGCTTTTTACAGACACTTACTTTTAGTTTGAGAGTCATAAAGTTGTTTTTGTCTTTTTCCTGAGGTTTATTGGTTGAATTATATATAGTATATACAGCATACCTCCCTTGGAAATATTAATAATTTTGCAAAGTGAAACATAGCAGTAGTTTAATATATCTCTATATTTTTATCAAGCCATCTGGCTTGAAACCTCAAGAATGAGTGAGTATGAGATTTCCCCAAAAAAGAAGTAACATCTAGTTGGGTTAAGCATCAAGTTGCTAGCGTACTGTGTATAAAAGCCAATACATACCAAGTCATATTAGTGAATTTCACCTACACTGCTAGGAGGTTGTTGAACTCAATTACAAGAATGTGCAGAGCTCTATTTGATATGTGACTAGGTTAGGAGACCACAATCAATTAAAAAGAACACATGTATATCCTGTCCTGGGGAAACAGTTGTTATAGTATCCCTTGTTCAGTTTCTGCTTTTCTCTCTGACTTTTCCTCTGAACACACAAAGGGTTGAGTAATTCCCCAGTTTCATTTGGAATTGTTTTGTCAGCAATATCTAATAGGAAGACATGAGATTGTTGTTTTACTTGAATGAAGCCTCAGGCGGCCTACAGTTAAATGTGCTGTACTTTTTTTTTCTTACAGCAAAACCGTTTGAAAATGGACAATATTTGGACATATATGGAATTACCAGGGACCAGGCTGGAGAATATGAATGCAGTGCAGAAAACGACGTGTCATTCCCAGATGTGAAAAAAGTAAAAGTTGTCGTAAACTGTAAGTCCCATCGCTTTTTATCAATATTACTTCAGAGGAAGGATAAACCACCTGAAAAATACTGTCTGAAATTTATGTTGCTGATTATTTTCAGAGGCGGTCTGTCTGTTAATAAAGACCACCTGTTGATAGTGAAAATGTGCATATGTTAGAATATTGGTCAAATTGTTTGTGTAACATCGGTTGACCCAAATAACCCCTGAATAACAATAATTCAGTTTAATGTGCAGAAGGAAATGTTTCCAATATCACCCTAGCCCCTGGCATTCTAAACTGTGGTAATCCGAACCTCAAAAACACTGTAGGCACATGGTGTTTTCTTCATGCTCATAGGTTTCACCTGGAGCATATTTTGACTAAATTTAAGTGTGAAATTTTTAATCGAAACTGATGGAAATGCAGTATGCTGGTCTGTACTCAAAGAGAAGAGCTGTTACTGTAATGCTCCTGTTACTTAGGTTATTTAATTCTATTTACTTTGGAAAATATGGAGAAAATGAAGAATGTTCCAATAAATATCATTATTAGGAAGTTAGAATAGTAAGAGTTACCTGCAGAACTATCAATGGCATCACATTACACCCTTTCCCTACATGCATCCCAAAACACTGATGTAGAACATTTTTTAATGAACATCCTGTTTTTATATTTTAGGATCTCAACAGCAATGACCGCAGTAGTCTTTACTTTTAAAAAATAACTGTTTAGTCTCTCTCTCAAAAATTTTCACATTGCTTAACTTACCCAAATAAAGTACTTTCGTGATAATAGTATTGTACCAAGACTTTTTTAGCGATTTTTTATTCCATTTATACATATTCCTATAGATGTCCATTGCTGATAATGCTTACATAGTATTACACCATAGATCAGAAGAAATTGTCCCAGAATTCTAAAACAAAACTTTTTTTTCATATTAATATGAGTCTTTTAGTTTCATGGGCCAAACGTAACTATCGAAACACTCCTGGTAGTTAAGTGTCGGTCAGGACAAATCACTGTCATCAACTAATGTTTATCAGTGACTAATCTATTTGGGGTTGAACTGTCTCTGTTGAACTAAGCAAATGTGCATAATACAAATCAAGAGATAGTTTTGGGGGCAGAGTTTCCCATATAATGTTCTGCAGACAAACTTTAGGAGAGTCACCCAAGAAGTTCATTAAAAATGGAAAATTTCTCTGTCCCACATTAACTCTACTGAATCAAAACCCTGGGTGTATAGGGCTTGGAAATCTGCATTTATAAAAAGTTGTTATTGATTCTCAGGCCTCTTGTTGCAGAGGGATTTTGCATCCCTCTGGAACGCTCTGAAATTAGACATGATAAGCAAGTAAAAACCATATTTATCAGAATATGAGTTTACTGATTTTATTGGTTGGTGTCAGGCAGGGAGATGAGAAATAGAAGTAGGAGGAAGTAATATTTTTAGCAGTGAGCATAAAGAAATGAAAAGGTAGGGTCAAACCGTCAAATTCACAAGGCACCCAGGCCAACAAGGCATCCCACTCTCAAACCCTCAGATCAAGTACAGTAGGTCTCTAAAATGATGTCTCCGTAGGGGATGGACTTAAAAATACAACTGCTGTAAGGATTCGCATGGGCCCACACTCCATGTGTAATCCATACTTCCCTTTGTATTCACACTTTGTTTTTTATCCTTCTTATCCCTCTGACTTTAGCCCATTGGCACGTATTATTTAATCTGAGCCTGTTTTGTTTTTGTTCTGAACAAGTGGGCGCCTTAGAGTGAGAGAGGTCAACTAAGGAGGCAGAAGTTTGGACAGAAACTGAATTGAAAGATGATTTAGATGACCAGCCAATGAGTCATCATCTCTAGGATCTGGGTGGAGAACAGAATCCTTGTATAAAAAAGAACAACAGGAACTGGGAAAACAAGATGACAAGAACTGTGAAGAATATGCCACAGTTTCATGGATGCTGGCAGAAGACAGAGACAAAGGGCAGTTTATTACTCATAGCAACAGCAGTAGCTAGAGTATTGCCATTTTCTTGCATCAGTTCCTCAAGCCCCAATTACCACAAGGTGATACAATGAGGGCTTAGGTGACACCTGCACACACAGTAGGTTTATGTCATAGCTGAGGGTCCCTGAGCTTAGGAAACTCGATTTATTTTCTATAATGGCAGTAAGCAAAGCTGCCCTTTGCTGCAGAGGGAGAAATTATCTTTATTACACTGGACTGTAAACAAAGCTGCCCTTTGCCGCAAAGGGAAACTACGTCTTCTGTCTTTCCAGACTTTTCGCTATACAAGCATCCCTGAAAAGATAGGAACAAAAGCTGTCAGTGCCTCTGCTCACAAGACATGCAGAAACACTAGAGACCCGCGGGGAACTGTTTTCCAACACAGGATGGGAGCAGAAAAGCTTAAAGCAGAGCCTAGAGACATTTCATCAGCGGAAACACATGCTTCAGTGGCTTTGGTAGGGTGGCAGACAGCTAATGATAGGTAGGAAAGAAGACTTTGTTAGCCAACTTTAACTTCAGAAGGAACACAGGAAAGAAAAAGGGAAAAGTACAAACAAGAAAGTGAAGGAGGTACTTTTAAAATCAGAGCACAGAAAGCCTTTTTTTAAGAACTAATTTTAGTTAAAGGACAGTCCTACATGGAAGTTGTGGTACACACATAATATTAATGGAGCTCACACTAAAAAATGGACCCAGCAGAATTTTTAATGATTTTAAATAATCAATTTTATCTCTGGTCCTTCCCAAATTATACCCATGATAGCTCACATTTTCCTAAATGTGCCATAAAGAATTGTATTTAATATGGATCGATCAAGTACATTCACATCTCTTGAATCAGTATTTTATGTAAGATATGAAATTTGTCAAGACCTAAATCTTGGCTTTGTTTGGAATAGTTATGTCACACATAGACCAATGATGTCTAAGTCTTATTAGGTATGTATATGTTTCAGGTTATGAGGAGGTTTAAAAAGTGTTAATTTTGTGAACTTGCCACTTTGAATGTCAAAAACTGAGCACTCTCTATGGATTTTACTGAGCTGATTTCCCAAAGGAAATTAGCCAAAGCCTACTAAGCAAACTTTAGTTCATCAAAGCCAAAACTTGAGCACATTGGTCTGTGTTACCAACAGGACTGCACATCCCCTAACACCTGAAGGGGGTCATAATATTGGGTTGTCGGGAAAGCCATGATGCATTTTTGTAACGAAAAACATAGAAAAAATATGTTATGACTTTTCCAACAACCCAATACATTCAAGGCAGCCCTCCCTTTCCTTGTTATTAATCAATATTGATTGCGCTTATAGAACTGCCATAGTTGTGTGACCTATAATTTAAAGAGAAACTCTGTCCTTTTTCCCAAATAGGGTTCAGGATGAAATGTAATAAGTTTTCATAAGCTTCAGTAGAGTTACTTATGTGGTAAGTCAATTTAAGAGCATTTCCCTGAAAGTTAGAAATGGTTAATGTTTTACTATTCAGCTAACACATCTGCCACATTCACTATATATAAAACATATGCATACAATAAATAAATAACATCATCTTTGCCACATACTTCATACTTCTAGGACTTTTATGTGAATTTCTATTCAATTAAATGGCAGTTTAGTGAAATGATTCGTATAAATAACTTATATAGATTGGGCTAGTTGGTTAATTTAATAAATCAGTTCATTTTTTAGCTATTTACAGATTTTGTGGGTGATTATTCTCTGTCTTTTTCTGTATTTTCTTTTATGTATATAATTAATTATATATATATATAAATTTATTTATATATATATGCATATACACACACCTAATGCATATATAAGTAGGTATATATATTTCATGTTAACTTAAAAACAAACTAAAATAATACAAGGAATCATGACAGTTATCATAATTCAGAGCTTGAGAGATTAATACACATACAGAGCAAGAGAGAAAAAAATGTGGACCAGCTGATTAGGTAAGCCAAAAGAAATTAGTGGTTTAGAGTTGGACAGATTCTCTGTTTTATTTGCATTTGTATTCCATCACTTGAAGTGGCCTAGAGGATACTAGTTGTATAATTTTTATTGTTAATTTAAAAAATGGAAAATGAATAATTTCCAGAAAGTCTATGGGTTCAATTAAGTTGGGAAAAAACAGAAACTCATGAAGCTCTGTTTAGGAAAGGGAGACTAGAGCCTAGAAAATCAGCAAAGTTGACACATTGGAAGCTCAATCTAGAATCCGGAAAATTTAGGAAGTATCACAGACAAATCAAATATGTAATGTAGATCTCTATAGGGAAGCAAAATCCCAGATAGTAGACATTAGGAAAGCCTGCAAGACCTGGCCCTTCAAAATGAATGCTGCTGGTAAAAGAGGCAGGATGCTCTGATCTTGCGACAGAGGCTGTTTTTTCTTCACCCTACTTATATCGATTCTTCCAGTTAAGAGTAACTGTTTTGGAAATGTAGGCCTTATAGTCAGAAATAACTTATTTGAACACCTGTACTATACTTTACTGGGCTCTTTGAGAGCTTGGGAAATCACTTTACCTTTCTGAGTCTCAATTTCGAATTCTGTACCTATAATATTGAATATGTAATTTTCAGGGTTTGGGTAAAGATTAAATGAGATGATGTATATGCAGCATCTATCATAGTTCCTGGCTCACTGTAGGGAATTAAAGAAAGTCTCTCTCTCTCTCTCTCTCTCTCTCTCTCTCTCTCTCTCTCTCTCTCTCTCTCTCTCTGCATGTACTCTAGAATGTAAGTTCTATGCAGTAAAGGATCTTCCTTTTCTTTGTACAATGATGTGTTCTTGTTATTATGCATAGAGCAGCACCTGTCCTTAGGAGGCAACCAACAAACAGTCATTGAGTGAATTAATTATTTAAAAAGAGGAGCATTCTTTGAATTATACTACTAGACAGAACAGGAAGGAGATATTAGGTTTGCTCCACAATTACATTTTTCATTCCCCCTGGACAATAAGTAAATTGTATGTTGACTAATTTACTTCTGATAC